GAGAGCTGTTTGTTTGTTCGTGTATTTGTTCGTTTGTTTGTTTGTTGGTTTTTTTGTCTTCTTCTTAATTTTTTTTTCAATTTTCTTGTTTTTCTTTTATCGAGTTTCTTGGTCTGTCAGTTAGAAGGTTGTATCCCTCTCAGTCCAAGTTGGCCCAAACAGTCATGCTCCGAAGCCCAACCCTATTGACCTAAATAACGTCGATCCGGGGATAAAAACCTCAACACAAAATGGGGGCTTTGACGAAACTTTCTGCAGTGTGCGCTGGATATAACCATTACATCACACACCCCGGTTTGTGAAAGTTAACTTTAACATCTGCCATTAAAATGTATGTTAATCATAGTGAATAGCATTCGAATGACGTACATTTCCCCTTCCCAGCAAGCTCTATGCGCGTTACAATCTACAATCTCTATCTATACATTCGTATTTAATTTGTGAAAGTAAATCACCTTTGCATCCTAAAACTTCGGAACCACTTAACTTTTGAATTTGACAAAATTAATGGTGGTTCAGAATAATTTAAAGGGTGCACAGTTTCATTGAGGAGCCTGAAGTCACTGTAGTTTAATTTTCAGATTTTCATTAGTTTCGTTGAGATCTAATCTTGGGAAAGTCAGTCTTCTAAGACGCCATTGTAAACAAGCGAGACTTCCGTTCGCTAGCCGTACGCAGTCTCCACACCTTTGAAACTATGGCGTGTACAACCACGAAAGCGGAACAGAGAATCAATCTATACATCTATTATATCATATTTGGCAACTTGGAGACACACGTGTCACTTTTCTCTCAGAAGTTATAGCTCCATCCCAGTAGAGTGGAAAAAGAGTAGGCCAACTACGACTTTCAGTTGATGTTAATGCACCGATCATTCCTTTCATCGAAAGAAGGCCCAGCTAGCATAATATATAACAGTACAGTTGCACCACATGCACGAGGAGTTAGTTACCTGGAGGCGTGGTGAGGTCTAGTGGGCGGGTTGTGGCCAAACCCGATGACGTAGCTTCGCCCGCCGTCTCCAAGCATGTAGTTGATCTGACTCCTGGCCCACACGCGGTAGCGATCGGGTTCAATTCCCTGCGCAGCGGCCACAAGCGAGATGAAAGCCATGTTTGCTACGGGGAAAAGAAATGTTTTGTGAAGGCTCGGCCAATTTGAGTGAATAAACCTTTTTTTAATCGTAGTAAGACTTTTACAGCACTCACAACACAATAAAGTCTTAAGTACCGAGGATTAGAGGAGTCACCACAGAGTAGCAAACCTTTTTTTCGCAATGTCGTGCCCCATGTATCAACAGACATTCGAACACCATTGTATAGCCTTTTATAAATAATAATAAGGAAGATTGCTCATAATTAATTGTGACACCCCTCCCTTCCGCACTCAAAACTTAAAGACATAAATAGACCTATTTTGTCTCTTGAAAAGCCATGTCATGGTTGTCAAAATTTTCATCAAAGGCAAAAGCCTCTCTTGACACAGAAAGAACGCAACACTAAGACAAAATGCTTCAAGCAGAAAACGTTGAAGAACAAGGAGGAAGACTTATTAATGATAAATATTTTCTTCAAGATAGCCATTTTTGTAGCAGTAGTTAAAGGTTAAACATCTCAAAAGTTCTCGACTCCCC